GTGGGATGTGAACTAACTTCACTTTTTTATTTCTTAGACATCATAATAGCAAAACTTCTAAAACATTTCTAAGTAAGTCTGTTAACTTTTTGTATATTTTCTTTGGTTTACTCTTGCTTTGTAGTCCTTTTCTCCTCTAGTTACTCATACTAGTTTGTCATTATTGACTAGTATAGCCTAAGGAATGTCTACCTTTCTGGGTTTTTCTAGTTATACTATTACTAGCACTTTGTATTTTGATCTTTTGATTCTTATGATTTGGGCATTTTTAAATCTTCTGCAAATATATTCTAGTTTTTTTTTGTTAATATCTAATGGCAAGTCCCATATTGTTAATCTTTTACTGCCATCCAGCTTCTTATTGGTTTTATTGTAATTTATATCTTCTTTGATCTTATCAGCTTTCTTATTATCTGTTTTTTCTTCAGTTTTTATTATCTTGTTACTTCTTTTGTGCTGTTCTTCAGTATATACCTTTTGCTTTCCTTTCTTGTTCCTTCTTTCTTCTGGTATTAGTTTGTACCAATCACTCTTCTTTCTGCTAATTATTTGTATTGTTCATTTGTACCATATTCGCAGTCGAAGTTTACTTCAATCCACAAGTTTCCTCTTTTAAAAACTTCTTTGATTTCTTTAACATGTTCATTTTCTTTAAGTGACTATTTGATAAACTTTATATGTTCTTCTTGTGTTGTACCTGGCACATTGTGTGCTAATATATTAGCAAGTAAGCTATTATTTTGACTACAGTTTCTTTTATTTGGCACCCACATGCTATTTTTAAGTGGTATTTCAACTATGTCAATTTTTTTTTTAATTTTCAGATTTTTTTCTGTTCTATTGCTTTATATTCAATTACATCTTGCATTGTGTCTTTGGCTACCTTTGTCAAACTTTGTTCTTGTTCTTCTCACTATTTTTCAACTTCTTTTTCTTGGATAGGTAGCTGTGTTTCTATTTGTCTACTGTTTATAAAACTTACCTCTGCATCTTCTTTTCTTTGAACAGTTAAAGTATCTTCTTGCAGTTTTCTAGTTTACTGTTGGATTTCTTTTTCTTCTCTTAGTGCCACCTCTTGTATTTGCTTTAATAAATCTAATTTTTTCTTTAGTTGTTCTTTTTTAGCTTTTTTCACTATCTCTCTTGCTATTCATAGAAAAGCTACTTCATTTGTATCTTGCCTAGTGAGCATTGCAACAATCTTATCCTCTCTATTTGGCATTACATATGTATTGTTTGCTTCATTAAAGAAGTGCTTATTATGTACATTGCCTAATGCCTAGTAAGCTCTTCTTATACAGATTGCTTTTATGTTTCCTTTATACTCTTCAGGCAAACTTTTATTCATTACTAAATCTGTTCTTTTCTAGAATGTTCTTCTATTTTATTACTATGTATTGGTTTGTCTATTTTGTATATAGCCACTTGCATGTGTTTGTTATTGTTGCTTGATATGTTATGTAACTTTGTGCAATGTTAACAGATCTACTTTTAGAGTCAGATAAAAATCTCCACAATTGTCATTTTAATGCTAAAAATTTTTCAAAACACCTTGCTTTTCTCTTATAACTACTCTAATATTACTGTGTTTTTTTTGGTTTCTAAGATTGTTTAGTACACTTTTTGTTGCTGCTTCTTTTAGCTTAGCACTGTTTGGATAGTTTCTTATTGGTTTTCTTGAGAAAACTTGATTTTCTTTTTTACTAATTTTGTGTTAGAGTAATTGTTAGGAAGAGTTGTGATATTTTTTATGCTAATTACTATAATTAATTTAGTTATATTTAGTTTATCAGTTTATCAATTATAATCAGAATTAATTTAGCAAATGTAACATAGATAGATAAGTATTATTATAACCTATTTACTTTATTATATAGTGCAATTTTGCTTATCAATAATGTAATTAACATATGTATTAATGATCAATTTTGATTTATAATAATTTATATTTATTTTTTATTTTTATCTTTATTTATTATTAATTATATATTAGAATCTTCCAAATAAATTAGTAAGCCTTATAAACAAACTAAGCTTCTATTTTTAATATATTTTTATTCTTAAATTTATATATTTTTTAAAAAAATGATTTAAACTTGTCAAGCTTTCTTAATAAAATTTTAAGTATTTTTATTGACAAAATTATATACAAAGTACTTCAAATAACAAAAACCTTCATATCTATTTGAGAAAACCTAAGTAAAAAGATAATACAGATCTTTAATAATACTACTATAAAGACTAGATCTAAAAAATAAGTACTAATTTGAAGTATTTGAATAAGCAAAAATCTTTGGATAAAATATATTACCAACCAAACTATTGGAATTTTATTCAAGATGATCAGAAGAAAAGAATATCAGACTAACTTAATATACTAATAAATTGGTCATAGTCCTATTAGGCTTTCTAGATTAAAAGTTTAAAAAAAACAATAATATATTAAAAGTACTAAAGATATTTTGTAAAATAAATACTAAAGTTTGAGTAAACTTTGCAAAAGCAAGCTCTATAAAAGTTTATAAAATAAATATATTAGTTAACAGAAAAGCTTTCTAAGCTTTACAGTTAGATAACATGTTCTGAAATTAAATAACAGCTTGACAAATATAAAAAAAAAAGTTTAAATTTTTTTTTCAATATTAAGATGATCTCTTTGGTTTTAACTTTTTATTAATATTTATATTAGATATATGTTTTATAAAGATATATCTATATTAAAATATTAGATGAGTATACAACTAGCTACATGTTTAATTTTTTAATATTATCTATTTAAAAAGTCCATCTGATCAGTTGCTATATCTAACATCCTACTTAGATATTCTATTTAAATACTTTAATCTGACTCTAATATTAATTTCATTTTAGATCTATTTATTTTTAATTATAGGACTATAATTCTTAGATTATTTTTATTCTTGATATAAACCTATTAGAGAAAGCCATATACTCTTTTACTACTAACCTGGTTTAATACTATGACTGAGACCAATACTTGCAGTTAAGGTTATCTATTAAATTGCTATTATTCTTGTAAAGTTTACCCAAACCTTGGTATTCATCTTTTTGATTTCTTTTTTATTATTTCTACTAACTATAAATTAGAACTAATTAACTTCTTAGACTTCCAATTCAAATAGCCTAGTATGGCATACTTATGTATTCTTTTCTTTCAATAATTCTGGCAGCCTGATTGATCATGTGTTTTTTTATACAACTTATCATCTAGATTATTTGACAGTTTCTATGAAGATGTTTCATAAGCTTCCCTCAGTTCAATGATATTATTAAAAATTTGTGCTATCTTTTTATTCAAGATTTCTAAATAAGTTTCTGTCTTTTCAGTTTCTTAACCTTTTATGTCTAGTAGTTTTATTATAGATTTGTACTGAAACCTTATATAACATCAGTTTTTTACATTTCTCTATATATGTGTAATATTACATTTTACATAGATGCTCCAAGCTCTCAATGTTGGGTTGGACCTGACTTGGTATAGCTAAGATTACAGATGTCTAAAATCTAACTGATCAACAAGAGACAGTATTATAATACAGATATAATTTTTAAAATTCATTATTTATAGGAATTGAACTTTAGATTGAGAATTGATAATCTATCTACTTTACTAGATCATTACATTCTAAAAGAAAGTTTAATATAAGATTAAATGACACTTAGTTGTATAAGAACTGAAATGACTAATTGCTTGACTGCAATATAAGAACTAAGATGTTTAATTAGATAGTCTTTTAGTAGATTATAGATATAACAATTAGTATAGAACCTTTAGATAAACTATTTAAATAGGTAACTAAAAGTTATAAATATAACTAGTTGTATACTTACTTTATATAAGTAATATATAATATATTAACTAAAAATACAAATAAAAACATTAGTTACTGTTAACATCAACCTTAATATATAAAAAAAAATAAATCAACATTATTATTATTAATCAATTTTAATAAATTATTAAATTGAATTAATACTTATTAATATTGATAACTTATTAAACTAAATCAATATTTATTCATGTCAGCTAATATCAGAAACTTTCATTCAGTTATATAGTAATAAAAATGAATAATTAAATAAAAAACATGATTTTTCTTTTTAAAAAAACATCAAATTGAATTTTTGATTATTAAATTCTAGTTAATATATATATTTTTTAATTTTTTTCAATTATAAGTATATAATAAATATTATGAATTTGAAAAAAATTTTGTATTATGCAACTTTTTGAACAAAAACAGTTTTATTAAATTAATAAATAAATAATTTTCTCTTTTTGTTGTTCAAAATATTGAAATTTAAAAATAAAATATGAATTCTATAAATTTTAAGTATTTGTATAATAATATAAAAATACAAAAAAAAATAAAATAAAAAATAAAAATATCAATATAATGACTAATTGTGTAATCAATGTGTAATTATTACACATGATATTTTTTAGGGGCTAAGTTCCCAGTATAATAAATTATAATTTCCGGATTCAGGTTTTCTCTTGGCGACACTCATATGTAATTAGAGTATAATTTGAATAAAAAATGAAACCGTAAACGATGTTGTAATTACAATAACCAATGATACTAAAAAGAAGAATTTTCGACTCAAAAATTGGTAACCCAATACAGATTAATTTGTCTATTTAGCTAATATTTAACATTTTTTATTTAATTTAATAGAATTTTTTATTTTATTACATGATGCCTTGTAAACTTTTTTGTCTGATTAAATATTTCACAATATATTAATGACTATTTGTTAACTACTATATTTGCTTTCGTTCCTGGTTTCTACGTAGCTTGACTGCGTCGCGCGGCTACCTTATTGTTATATTACTGTATTGTGTTATGACGGTGTATTGTATAGAAATTATGCATGCGTGACCTGTTGTACGACAATCTGATTGCTTGTATAAACTATAAAAAGAGTAAATGTACGACCATTTCCTTCTAAAACAAGCAACACAAAAACAAATAATCATGTTTGAAAATATTTCTTTTCCGTCAGTTGAAGAGGTTCAGAAGGAATGGAAGCGAGTCGACGTTATTAATTTCTTAAAGAAAAATAAAGTAGAGTTAGAACTTGATGATGATGATATTGAAATAATCGTAAAGAAAAAGATCCCTAAACATTACTTTCTCGATTTAAGTCAAGAAAAACTTGAAGAACATGGAATGCAACCGGGACCGGCATACACAATAGCAAAGTTGGTCAAAAAACTCAAGGGCGAGGACCAGGGTAAGTAGTACCACGACTGCATTCGAATATTCCAAACCTATACTGCTTTCTCCGCAATAATTTCATTTATTAACTTGTGCCTCTCTAATACTAGAACTTAAGGGAAAAAGAAGGGCAGAGGAAGAACGTAAGATTATACAAAGTTGGCTTTGCTTTATATCGTGCTCATGCTTACTAATCAAAATCTTTGATCAGTGATTACAGCACCGAAAAAAAGAAAATGGATGGTAAATAGTGCTATTACGCGAGAAGAGCGTCCTATTGTCTATTTCGTGGACCCGACAGAGCAGAATGCACCACTTCTTGAATCGGTACATCGAGGTGAATACATAGCATTACATGGACCACGAGCCTCTGGAAAGTCTACACGAGTGCTCCAACTTCAGGACCAGTTAAATAACAAAGGCTTTGTTTGCATATAGTAAGTTTTCTCCTCTCTTAAACGGGTCACGTTTCTTGCAGTCTAACTCTTTGTTATTTTTATTATCTCACTTCGGAACAGTTTATCTCTTGAGCAAATTAGCATGAATAGCGTAGACAAATTTTGGCAAACATTGGGCATTCATCTCAAAATTAGCGTTCCTAAACAAATCGTATTCGATAACATTAATTCTGCCAGTGATTTCGATATGGCATTTAAAAAAGATAGGTGGAAAAATCCCGTTGTTCTCCTTATTGATGAGTTTGATATGTTATACTCCGCAACAGATGACGTTCGCTCATCATGCCTAAGTACTCTCCGTGGTATTAAAACGACAAAGGATTGTTATGCTATCAAGTCTGTCTTTGCTATCGGACCTTTCAGTATACTACATTTAAATTCGAATAAATTGACCACATCACCATTCAACGTTAATGAACCATTCCAGAATCCAAACTTTACTTTGGAGCAAGTGCAGTTTTTATACAAAGAATTTGCGGATGAATTCAAGTTAACTATTGACCAGGAAGTAATTGAGGATATATATATGCAAACAAACGGGTAAGTGACTGGAGTTACGTAATATTATTTTTATTAAGTCTTAATTTTCTTGCTACTATATTCTTTCAACAGACA